GTGGAAGCCTGGGGAGGGGGAGCAGGGGACGGAGTCTCAAGAGGTTGGCACAGCCCAGGCACAGTGGCTCACGCCTATAATCCCAGCACTTTGGGAGGCCGAGGCAGGCGGATCACTTGAGGTCAGGAGATCGAGACCAGCCTGGCCAACATGGTGAAACCCCATCTCTACTAAAAATACAAAATTAGCTGGGTGTGGTGGTGCACGCCTGTAATCCCAGCTACTCAGGAGGCTGAGACAGGAGAGTCACTGGAATCCGGGAGGCGAAGGTTGCAATGAGCCGAGATCGTGCCATTGCACTCCAGCCTGGGTGACAGAGCAAGACTCTGTCTCAAAAAAAAAAAAAAAAAAAAAGGCACAAAGGCAGGTGAGATGTCTCCTGATGGAGGAAGGGCTTGGGTGCAGACTCCTGGGTCTCTCAGGGAGGAGGCCGCTGGGGCCTGGATTCCTGAGTTCCCCATTGGCTGGAGGGGTGGAGAGGGCCAGAGGTGGATTCTTGGGGTCCTTGAATGAGGAGGACTCACAATGTGGCTCCTTTCTCCCCAGAACCCTGTCTCTGGGTTACATACAGGCCAGATGGTGAAAATTCAAGTTGAGACCCCCGCCCCAAACCCTGATGTATCAGGATGGAGGAGCTGTCCCCAGCGACAGGCATCCTTGACTCACACCACTCCTCTCCTGGGGTGAGGGGAGGAGGGGGACCTGGTGAGTCATCTGGTGACTCATTCCTGCTCCCCCCCATCTCTAAGCACCAGGGAAACCCCAGCCTCTGGCTATGTCCACGAGGTCCTCACCCCACCCTGCTGCCAGACTGGTGACTGCTGGACATCTTCTGGAGGAAATGGATGGGATTCGCGTTGCGGGGAAGAGAGGCCCGAGAAGGAGTTAGCCTCCCAGGACCCTTTGGTGCCCAGGAACAGGGGACCTAGAGGTCTCCCAGACTTGGGGTGTTCTCATGCAATGCCCTGATCTCAGGGCCCTCAGAGGACAGTGGACACCGCTGAGGAAAAAACTGCAGGAAGTTTTCGGTGGAGGGTTCTGCTGGGACCCCAAAACTTTGCTGGGCCCCACCCCTTCCCATATCCCCACCTCAAGTGCTAAGAGATCACTTATTAAATGACAAGGATTTCCAAGAGTAAGGGGCGTCTCTCCCAGCCTGGGGGTGTCCTTCCCAAACTGCTACATTCCCAGGTAAATTAAGAAGTCCCAGCCCTGAATAACGGACTGGAAACTTACCGAGAGCTGCGAAAAAAGTCAGAGCTGGAGTCGGTCTCGTCCCTCGCTCGGGCCTCCGTGCCCCGCCCTTCTCCTCCCTCCTTTCACCCTCCCGAGGCCCCCGCCTCTCTCACCGCCTTCCTCCCTTGCTCTGCCCTCCAATCCGGAACCCTTTCTCTCTCGCTTGCTCTCCTTCTGCCTCTCCTCTCTTCCTCCTGCCCTCACTGTCTGGGCCGCCTTCTCTCTTGCTCCCGTTTCTCTTTCTCTCCTCCTCGCAATATATACTGACCCTTTTATAAACCCACTCTCACCGCGCCCAGCTGAGGTCCGCCGCCAGTGGGAGGGCCCAGGCACTCCGGTTCCTCTTTCTTTGGGCCCCCACCCAATCCCCTCAGACAGACATCATCTGGGGCTCCCTCCCAGAGTTGAGAGGATAAACTCTTGGAATGGGGCTCTGGGGAGGGGCAAGCGTCAGGGGTGGGAGGGCCCGATTCTCAGGACCCTTGGGTTTTGAGGTCTTGTCTTGGGACCGGATGTCTGCTTTCCCTGATGGAGCTTGGGGCTGGACAGGAGTCTGGGAAAGGAGGCCAGATTTCTGTGGCATGCATTGAGATTGGGCTGATGAAGTTGGCCCCGTGGTGGGGGTTAGAGGATGGGAGATGAAGTTTGTGAAACTCGGCAGGGCATTGTGGCTCACGCCTGTAATCCCAGCACTTTTGGGAGGCCGAGACGGGCAGATCATCTGAGGTCAGGAGCTCGAGACCAGCCTGGCCAACATGGTGGAAACCCATCTCTATCAAAAATACAAAAATGAGCCGGGCGTGGTGGCGGGCGACTGTAATCCCAGCTACTCGGGAGGCTGAGCCACAAGAATCGCTTGAACGCGAGAGGTGGAGGCTGCAGTGAGCTGAGTTTGCACCACTGCCCTCCAGCCTGGGCGACAAAGTGAGACTCTGTGGCCAAAAAAAAAAAAAAAAAAAAAGAAATGCGTGAAACTCTGGAAGGCGGGGAGGAGGAGACAGAAGTTAAGAATCCCAGCGCCATCATTTCCTGGCTCAGTGACTGAGCCAATTATTTCACCCACCTGGGCTCCAGTATCTTAGTCTATGTCAAGAGTATAATAATACTGACAAAATACTAATACTGATAATAATAATTCTGATACTTATGCTGAATAAGTAAGGTAATACTGGTACACTCACACACCTAAGCTGTTCCTTCATCAAACATTTATTGAACATGTACTCTGATCTAGGAGTTAATAATGAAAACAGACACGACCCCTGCTGGTATTATGGAGTTTGTCTTCTAGTAGAGGAAGACAGACAAGAGAAAACATCAATGATGAAGATAAATCTCAGCTAGGGATAACTGCCTTGCAAAACAAATACAATAGGCTGGACGCGGTGGCTCATGCCTGTAATCTCAGCACTTTGGGAGGCCGAGGCTGGAGGATCACCTGAGGTCAGGAGTTCAAGACCAGCCTGGCCAACATAGTGAAACCCTGTCTCTACTAAAAATACAAAAACTAGCTGGGCGTGGTAGTGGGCGCCTGTAATCCAAGCTACTCGGGAGGCTGAGACAGGAGAATTGCTTGAACCTGGGAGGCGGAGGTTGCAGTGAGCTGAAATCATGCTACTGCACTCCAGCCTGGGTGACAGAGCAAGACTCCATCTCAAAAAAAGAAAGAAAAAGAAATAAATAATAAATCAAACAGAGTGATGGAGATAATGACGGAGTGCAGGGGAGACTACTTGAAACAGGAGAATCAGGGAAGGCGTCTTGGAGGAGGTAAAATTTGAGCTGAAGACAGGAGTCATTTGAACGCTGGGGTCGGGGAGCGGTGGGGGGAAGTGGGGGGAAGAGGAAGTGCAAAAGCTCTTAAAGCTTTTGAGAACAAGCTCAGGTTGTTCAGGGAGCAGACAGAAGGGCCAGTGTGGCTGGCACATAGGGAGACAGAGGGAATGGTAAGAAGGGAAATCAAAGGGTGCCCTTGAAGACTAGGGGAGGGGCTTGGATTTCATTTTTTTTTTTTTTGAGACGGAGTCTCGCTCTGCCGCCCAGGCTGGAGTGCAGTGGCCGGATCTCAGCTCACTGCAAGCTCCGCCTCCCGGGTTCCCGCCATTCTCCTGCCTCAGCCTCCCGAGTAGCTGGGACTACAGGCGCCGCCACCTCGCCCGGCTAGTTTTTTGTATTTTTTTAATAGAGACGGGGTTTCACCGTGTTAGCCAGGATGGTCTCGATCTCCCGACCTCGTGATCCGCCCGTCTCGGCCTCCCAAAGTGCTGGGATTACAGGCTTGAGCCACCGCGCCCGGCCTGGATTTCATTCTAAGTGCAGTGGGAAGCCATTAGGTTTTAACGGAGTGTAGTACCAAAGATTTTTTTTTTTTGAAATGAAGTCTCGCTCTGTCATCCAGGCTGGAGTGCAGTGGCATGATCTCAGCTCACTGCAACCTCCACCTCCTGGGTTCAAGCAATTCTCCTGCCTCAGCCTCCTGAGTAGCTGGGATTGCAGGTGCCTGCTACCATGCCCGGCCAATTTTTGTATTTTTAGTAGAGACGGGGTTTCTCCATATTGGCCAGGCTGGCCTCGAACTCCTGACCTCGTGATCTGCCCGCCTTGGCCTCCCAACGTGATGGGATTACAGGTGTGAGCCACCGTGCCCAGCCCCAAAGGTTTAATGTTAATTATTATTATTCATTTTGGGGATATTAAATTAGGATGGGGGTGATGATTACTATATACACGAGTCTCTGGGGGAGGGGACCAGGTGTCCAAGACTCTGATAAATTGAGAGCAAGGGAATTCAAATCCTGGATCCAGGGAAAGGAACTGGATGATGGGATGTCTGGGTATCTGATGGGCCAGAGCTGGGTTTGGGATAGCTGTTGGTGATTTGAGGGATGGACAGTTCAGTGCCTGGCTGGGTACCCCGAGACCTGGAAGCTGGGATACCAGTATAGTACAGACTGTAGAGCCACACTGGTTGGACTCAAAATCCAAGCTGTTTTACTAATTGGCTGTGTAATTTTTGGCAAGTTACTAATAACTTCTCTATGCCTCAGTTTCTTCATCTGAAAAATAGATAATAGTAAATACATTATAGGGCAGTTCTTAGGGTAGTGCTAGTCATATCAGGCACTGGGGCTCTGAGTGGAGTCAGTACTGGGGGACCCTGATTCAGGGTCTCTAGGAGTTGGGGAAGGGGCAAATTCTTGGGTCCACTGGGTCTCAAGGCTAAAGTTGGGAATCGAAAATGAGGGTCCCTGGGGGAGGAGAATAAATAGTTTCAAACTTAAGTGCCCGAGAGGGACAGAAACTGGGGTCTGCACTCAGATCCCTACGGAAGTTGCAAAGTCTGAGTCACTGAAGGAAAAATTAGGGGCTGGGCAGACATGTGTTCCTTTTGGGGTGCAGGAAAAGAGGGCTCCATCTTCTTGAGGCGACTAGGGGGAGCTAGGGGCTAGGAAGATGGAAACTTGAGCCGGGGAGGTGAAAAACACGAGTCTAGGACTCAGAATCAAGTTCTCTGAGTGGAATCGGCGCCAGGCTTGGGTACCATGGGGCTATTAGGGGGGTCCCCACACTACGGCTATGTAGAAGGGGAAGAATCAGGGGATCTGAAGGTGGCGGCGGGATCCCCCCATCCTGGGCCTCCGAGACTTTGAGCTGAGCTGAGCGTACGCAGGCCGCTTCCTCCCACAGGAAACCGCAGGCGTCGGGCACACCCAGCCTGCAGGGAGAGGCGCCCACTGCCCGCCCGGGGAGGCCCACGTGGGCAGCAGCCTCCGCGGAGGGGGCGTGCCTTACACAGCGAGTGGGTGTAACCAGCGGGGGCGTGGCCGGAAAGCGGGGGCGGGACGGAGTGTCCGAGGCCCCGCCCGCTTCCGCCTTCCAGCGCGCGGACGTGGTAGGCGGCCAAGGGCTTTTGGCGGCTTCCCGGGAAGCCGTTAGTCGCGGTTGCGTAGTGAATCGCTGAGGCTGTGGTGAGCGCTCCTTCTCCCAGCAACTGGCGGCTTCGGCACCGCCTTCCTTCCTATGAATCCTTAATTTAATGTGGTCATAGTCATCTTACGACATGCACCTCTTCGGCCCCGTCTTGTAGGACCTCGGCCCGGCCTGGAGGGCTTCCATACAGGTCCCCGCAGGCTCTTTCAGCTCCCGCCGCTTCCAGGCCCGCGGTACTACCGAGACCTCAGCCTCGAGCTCCCCAGGACCGTTCCGACCTCCCGCAGGCCTTCCAGGCCTGAGCGCCTCCCGATTAGCCCGCCCTTCACCTGCCTCCCACCAGGCCCCTCGTTAGGCCTTCCAAACGCGACCCGCGCAGCCCGCCTCTTACGGGGAAGCCCCTTCCCTCGCCAGCCCCGAGGTCCCGCCCTTTACGGGTGCCCGTGCCACTCGCCTAGTCCCCTCAGAAGCCCCGCCCTTTACAAGTGCCCGTGCCCCTCCCCTCGCCTAGTCAGCTCAGAAGCCCCGCCCTTTACAAGTGCCCGTGCCCCTCCCCTCGCCAGTGCCGAAGCCCGGCCCTGTACAGTGTTCGTGGCCCTTCCCTCGCCGTCTCCGAAGCCCGTCCTGTACAGGTGGCCGTGCCCTTACCCTCGCAGGCTCCGAAGCCCCGCCCCTGAAGTTCCTCCCACTCTCTTCACAGGTCTCAGCTCCGCCCATCACAGCTGCCTACGGCACGCCCCTCTCAGGCCTCACACGCCCCTCCCCCGCGCAGGGCTCCGCAGCCCCCGTCCACAGGCCCTCCCGGCTCCGCCCCTCGCAAGACCTCCCCGCCCATCAATTTTGTTTGTTTGTTTATTGAGAAGGAGTCTCGCTGTCGCCCAGGCTGGAGTGCAGTGGCGCGATCTCGGCTCACTGCAATCTCCGCCTCCCAGGTTCAAGCGATTCTCCTGCCTCAGTCTCCAGAGTAGCTAGCTGGGACTACAGGCACGAGTCGCCACGTCCAGCTAATTTTTGTACTTTTAGTAGAGACGGGTTTCACCATGTTGGCCAGGCTGGTCTCGAACTCCTGACCTCAAGTGATGCATCCGCCTCGGCCTCCCAAAGTGCTGGGATTACAGGCGTGAGCCACCGCGCCTGGCCTCGCCCATCAGTTCTAAGTCCGTGGGAACCCTGCAGGTCTACGCCTCGCATCCTTCTCCGCCCTTCCATAGTTTCTCCCGCGGCCTCGGTCCCTCCCTGGCCACTGTCCTCAGTCCTCATTGGTCCCTTATCTCCCCAGTAACCAGACCACAACACTGAGCTTGGAGCACCAAGAACAGGTCAGGCCCGTCGGCAGGTAGGGCCCAGGACTCCCCCGACCTTGCCCAACCCCCCTACAGCAGGCCGGGGTTTGCCTCTCCCCTGCGACCAAACAGCCTGGCCTCGGATATCCTGAGAGCCCAGGAGACCTGTCCCCTGCCAAACCCGCGCCAGAATCACAGCCGAGACGCAAGACCCAGAGTGTGAGAAGTGGGAAGGCGGGAGAGGTGTGGAGAGGCCTGAGAGAGGTCCCCCTCCAACCGCTCTTGGAGGAATGAGGCCAGCGTGGTTCTAGGGTCACCCCCTTTCAATTCCCAGTCGCTCTCGGTTCATTGCCTACCCTCCTCTGGACTCCGGCCCGCCTGCTGTCTGAAGGGTCTTGTATGTCCATCCCTACAGGAGCCCCACCTTCTTTGGCCAGGATGCCTTTGGGACGCTTGTCAGGGAGCGCCCGCTCCGAGGAGGGAAGCGAGGCCTTTCTGGAGGGAATGGGTAATTCATTCATTGTTGATATCATTCACCCATTCTTTTCCAGCCCCCAGCTTTCCCCAGTTCCAGGTCCTGTAGGGAGGGAGAGAGCGTGTCTGTCCAGGAGCGCCCTCTGGTGGGAAGAGACATGCGCCCTGAGGGAGGTGGGGCGGGCACCACCGTGGGTGGGCCAAGCCTGGGCGATGGGGCAGGCTGGAGACTTCAGGCAGCAGAAGTTTGAGTGGGGCCCAGAACTCCCCGTAGGAATTGCCAAGGGGGGAAGGAAGGAAGGAAGGGTGTTTCTGCAGAGGTGATAGAATGTGGCTAGAGGAGACTTTCTCAGCCTCAGTACTGTTGACTCTTGGGTGGGATAATTCTTTGTTGTGGCGGCAGTCCTGTGTGTTGTAGGATGCCAAGCAGTGTGCATGGCCTCTACTCACTGGATACCAGTAGCCCCTCCCTTCCCCACAAGTCATGGTAATGACAAATGTCTCCAGGCTGGGCGTGCTGGCTCATGCCTGTAATCCCAGCACTTTGGGAAGCTGAAGAAGGAGGATCACTTGAGCCCAGGAGTTCAAGACCAGCCTGAGCAATACAGTGAGACCTCATCTCTACAAAAAAATAAATAAATAAAATTAGCCAGGTCTGATGGTGTGCACCCATAATCCCAGCTACCCGGGAGGCTGAGGTGGGAGGATCACTTGAGCCTGCGAGGTGGAGGCTGCAGTGAGCTGAGACTGTCACTGCGCTCCAGCCTGGGGGACAGAATGAGACCCTGTCTAGAAAAAATAAGTCTCCAGACACTGCAAATGTTCTTGGAAGGCAGAATCACCCCCGATTGAAAATTACTGGGCCTTTGGAGGTGGGGAGCATGTGGGCAAGACTGGAGAGGTGGGTAAGGTCAGGTCATTTGGCGTCTTGGATCCCAGGCTGAGGTGCTGAGACTTTATCCTGCAGGTGCTGGGGCATCATGGGAGGCCTGTGAGGGGTAGGGTCTGCTATGGGTGGGGTAGGGCCGGCTGTGGGTGTAGAGAGACCCTCTGGGACTGTGCGGGAAGGCTGGAAATTGAGAGAAAGGTTGAGGTGATGGTCCAGGTAGGAGAGGATGAGGCCGAGCCCAGGGATGGGTTGAGAGAGGGAGGAGGGAAGAGGATGGGGCTGAGGGCTGCTGATGGTGGGGAGAAAAGGAGGGAGGGAGCAAGAGCCTTCCCAGTTCCGGCTGGTGTGCCCAGGTCCCAGAAGACCCAGAGGCCTTCCAGAAGTGCCCCTGGTGGGATGGGAGTGGGTTTTAGGGGAAAAAACCCTGAGTTCAGTTTTGGGTATGGAGGGATGAGGAAGCTTGAGGGATCCTGGAACTGAGGTGCATTCCTAGAGGGATGTTGGGGGCTGGATCTGCAGTTCAGTTGCAGTTTGTGAGACCCCAAAGGGAGCAGAATTCCTAGGTCCTGGGTTGGAAGGAGCTGGTGGCCAGGATCCCTATTGAGTCCCTTGGCCGGCCCTGTTCTCAGTGGATTGGGAGCTGAGTAGGCTGCAGCGCCAATGCAAGGTGATGGAAGGGGAGAGGCGGGCCTACAGCAAGGAAGTCCACCAGCGCATCAACAAGCAACTGTGAGCTGGGTACCTGGGCCCTGAGCTGGGGAGGAGGGGGTCAGAGGGGCTGGAAGCTAGACTCCTGGGTCTGAGGGGGAGCGCAGGAGCAGTGTGTCCTGCCTTTAGCAATGCTGAGTTCTGCCCCCTTACTGGCCCGCTACCTCCCTGCCTGGGTAGCGAGGAGATCCGGCGCTTGGAGGAGGTACGGGGCAATCTCCAGGTGCAGATCAGCACAGCCCAGAACCAGGTCAAGCGGCTTCAGGACAGTGAGCGGCTGGAGAACATGGACCGCCTGCTGAAGGGCCGGGCCCAGGTGCAGGCGGAGATCGAGGAGCTGCAGGAGCAGACCAGGGCCCTGGACAAGCAGGTGGGTTCGAGATGGGGTTCTGCAGATCCTGCTCACAGGCAAGTGTTGTAACCTCTCTGAGCCTTAGCGTCCTCATGTGAAATTGGAGTTATTGGGCCAGGCGTAGTGGCTCATGCCTGTAATCCCAGCACTTTGGGAGGCTGAGGCAGGCAGATCACTTGAGGTCAGGAGTTCGAGACCAGCCTGGCAAACGTGGTGAAACCCTGTCTCTACAAAAAAACCAAAAATTAGCCAGGCATGGTGGCACATGCCTGTAATCCCAGCTACTAGGGAGGCTGAGGCAGGAGAATCGTTTAAACCCGGGGGGCAGAGGTTTCAGTGAACCAAGATTGTGCCACTGCACTCCAGCCTGGGCGACAGAGCAAGACTGTCTAAAAAAAAATAAAAAAATAAAAAAATAAGGGCTATTGAAAGCATCCATCTGGTAGAGTTGTGTTCAGTGGAAATATAGATGTTTGCTGCTTTAGCACAGTCCCAGGCATTCGCAAACAGGACTAGTGAGGTTAAGCAGGAAAGAGTCGTGTGGTAGAGTCCCCAAAACCTGCATTAGAGTCCTGGCCCTGCCATCGGAGCTCTGTGACCCCGGGCGGGCAGGTTTTCACCTCTCTGGGGCCTAGTTTCTTCATCTGCAAACGAGGATGGTGGTAATGCCGCAGTCTAGACAGGTTGCGAATCCCATCTGTTTCAGGACCTTGCTATTTGACCTTGCGAACAATGTGATTTTTCTAGGCCAGTGATCTGTCAAGTTTTTATGACCGTGACTCATGAGGTGTAGCTCATACACACCAAGATGCATACAGATGTAAACACACACACATATATTAATATATCTGAAACAGAAGTTTTAGCAAATAATATATATATATATATTTTTTTTAATGTGGAATTCATTCTGCTAAATTCTGGTCTACCCTTCATTTAAAAAACCAGTTTGTCAGTTGGGCACAGTGGTGCGTGTCTTGAGGCTGGGGGGGCAGGACTACTTGAGCCCAGGAGTTTGAGGCTTCAATGAGTTATGAGTGCCCCACTGCACTCCAGCCTGGGCAACAGAGAGAGACCCACTTTCTTTTTCTTTTACTTTTATTTATTTATTTATTTTTGAGACAAAGTCTTGCTCTATCACCCAGGCTGGAGTGCAGTGGCAGGATCTTGGCTCACTGCAACCTCCGCCTCCCAGGTCAAGCCATCCTCCTGCCTCAGCCTCCTGAGTAACTGGGACTACAGGCACGTGCTACCAAGCCCAGCTAATTTTTGTATTTTTGGTAGAGACGGGGTTTCGCCATGTTGGCCAGGCTGGTTTCAAATTCGTGGCCTCAGGTGATCCACTCACCTTGACCTCCCAAAGTGTTGGGATGATAAGCGTGAGCCATTGTGCCTGGCCCAGACCCCCTTTCAAAAACAAAAAACAGCGGTTTGGCCACAGGTAAGGCATCCGCAAGTCAAGGAATCCCACCTGCAGAAACTGGCAAAGGCAAGGAATGGAAAGACAAGTTTCTCTCAGACTGGGAGAAAGTATCTGCAAAGCATGCATCTGATAGAGAACTTGTGTCCAGAATATATTAAGAACTTGCCCAAACTCCATTAAAAAGACGGACCATACCAAGTGTTGGTAAGGATGAGAAGGAAGTAGAACTCTCATACTCCACTGGTGGGAACGTGGAATGGCACACTACTCTTCGTACACAGTTTGGCAGGTTTGTCTGGTTTTTTTTTTTTTTTAGACGAAGTCTCACTCTGCCACTCAGGCTGGAGTGCAATGGCACAATGTCAACTCACTACAACCTCTGTCTCCTGGGTTCAAACATTCTCCTGTGTCAGCCTCCCGAGTAGCTGAGATTACAGGTGTGTGCCACCACTCCCAGCTAATTTTTATATTTTTATTTTTATTTTTTCATTTCATTTATTTTTTTTTGTTTTGAGACTGAGTCTCGCTCTGTCGCCCAGGCTGGAGTGCAGTGGTGAGATCTTGGCTCACTGCAAGCTCTGCCTCCCGGGTTCAGGCCATTCTCCTGCCTCAGCCTCCTGAGTAGCTGGGACTACAGGCGCCTGCCATGACGCCCGGCTAATTTTTTTTGTTTTTTTAGTAGAGACGGGGTTTCACCGTGTTAGCTAGGAAGGTCTTGATCTCCTGACCTCGTGATCTGCCCACCTCGGCCTCCCAAAGTGCTGGGATTACAGGCGTGAGCCACCGTGCCCTGCTTTATATTTTTAGTAGAGAGCGGTGGGTTTCACCATGTTGGCCAGACTGGTCTTGAACTCCTGCCCTCAAGTGATCCACCCTCCTTGGCCTTCCAAAGTGCTGAGATTACAGACGTGGGCCACCACGCCTGGCCCAGTTTGGCAGTTGCCAAAAACCAAAACGTATACTTGACGATATGATTCAGACATTCCACAATTCAGACATTCCACATTCAGTTGTTTACCCAAGAGGAAAGAAAGCCCATGTCCATATAACGAATTTTACGTGAATATTCGTAATAACCCAACTTGATTTGTAAAATCGAAAACTGAAACAACCCAAATGTCCGTCGGTGGGCGAGTGGACGAGCAAATTGTGGTCTATACATGCAATGGAATGTGACTCATGAATAAAAGGAACCCGGCTATTGATACACACAACATGGGTGGATCTCAAAATAACTATTCTGAGTGAAAGAAACCAGATACCTTGGATCGCCGCAACATGAGTCCGAGACTAGCTTAGCATATTCCGATGATATAGCAGGAAGTCTAGGTACCGAGGGAGTGTGCTCAGCGTGTAATCCGCAGACTTTGGGAGGCCGAGGTGGGCGGATGTCACGAGGGTGGGGGGAGATCAGGACCAGCTCCGTGGCGTAAGACACAGGTGTAGATGCCCGATCTGAGGCTGAGGAAGGAATACAGTGGAATAGTGGTATGAATATTAGCCTAGCGTGGGTGGCTGGGCGTGCTGTAGTCTCGAGCTACTGCGCAGCCGGGAAGGCTGGAGGCAAGGAGAGATGGGTGAACCGGGGGGCGGGCGGAGCTTGCAAGTGACTGAGATCGCGACTACACTGCAGCCTGGAGGCGCACAAAGTGAGATCCGTCTCAAAAAAAAAAAAAAAAATTCTGGAAATCGCAGAACCAGATTTATAGTGACGGGAGAAACACAGATGTATGTGATTGCTGGGGGGAACTCGACTGCAGGAAGAGAATGAGGGTGCAGGAGGAACTACAAAGGCACGAAGAAACTTTTTAGGGGTGAGGATATTTTCACTATGTTTTTATGTCAAAACATATCAGAATTGATACAGTGTGTTTGTTTGTTTATTGTTATTTATGTTATTTAGAGTGGGAGTATTGCTCTGTCACCCAGTGAGTGCAGTGGCGCAATCTCAGGTCAGACTGCAATCTCACCTCCCAGTTCAGAGCAATTTCTGGCCTCAGCCTCGCGGGTAGTTGGAGATACAGGGTGCCTGCACGTGCCTGGCTGATTTGCACTATGTTTTAGAGAGACAGGGTTTTCCAGTGGTGGTGGCGCCAGGGCTGTCGCGCGCCCCGGCGCGGGATGGGGTTGAACTCAGACCTCAGGTGATCTGCCACCTCGGTGCTCCCAATGAGTAGCTGGTCGTCAGACCGGTTACAGTGTGTGGACCACCGTGCCAGCCCAAATGTCACACTAAGATTATGTGCGGAGGGTTTTACCGTATGTAATGTTATTCTTTAATAAAGCAATATTGAGACAGCGGAGGATTGGCTGAGCTGGCCTGGGAGCCGGGGTGGGACTGCGTAGCTGTGATGGTACAACTGTTAGCTCAGCCTAGTGGACAGAGTAACCCTGTCTCTAAAAAAAAAAAAGGATGAAAAAGGAAGAAAATTTTGTTTTGGGTTCAGTGCAGTTGAAAAAATGCAGAGACGTATTGCCCTTGTACACCTTTGCCTCATTTTCCCCAGTGTAACATTTTGGGTATTCTTTTCAGAGGTGGAGCTCGTCGTGCTACAGTCACCACGCTGGAGAGTGTGGTCAGAGGTGCAATCTCGCTCTTGCTAGTCTCCATCCTCCAGCCAGGTCAAGTGATTGTCCCCGGTACGTGAGCACGGTTCGGATGTATTTATTTTAGGCGCAGTTTTACAGGTTGAAGTTCTGAGCCCGGTGATCCACTGCCCCGGCCTCCCAAAGTGCCTGGGATTACACGGCGTGAGCCTACCGCGCGCGCGCGCAGACATATTGAGTTTTTACGAGGGACAGTATTAAACCATAGCAAGAACACAAATTGAAAGTGTAGAGCCAATTCATTTGTCTGTTTGATCCGCATTTATGTTGAGAACCTTCTTGTCTCAGCATCGGGAGAAAACACAGACTCTCTGACTCATGGAACCTCCAGTTGCTTGGAGACACCACAGCACACGCCAATAGAGTACCGATGCAATACAGAAATGAGGACAGATGTTGGAAGCTGATTTTAGGCGCATTAAGCCAGACCCAGCGATACTAAGGCATTGGTTCGTCTCACATCTCTCCAAACTCTATTCACTTCTGTCCATGGCTCACCTCCAGAGTCCTCCCTGTGGTGGGGCTATGACAGGAGAAGTCCGTGGAATCCACTTCTCATGTGGCTTCCCTAGACTATCGAGGAAACGAGTCAGAGACGGGGGCGCTGGGTCTGTCCGTAAATCCCAGCATTTGGGAGGCCAAGGCGGGTGGATCATGTAGGTCAGCGAGTTCGGAGACCAGCCCAGCCAACATGATTGAAAGCCCCATCTCTACTAAAAATACAAAAATTAGTCCTGGGTGTGATGTGACGGCCTGTAATCCTAGTCGCTACTCGAGACGGTTGAGGCACTAGAGAATTGCTTGAGAACTGGGAGTGGAGGTTGCAGTGAAGCAAAGATCACGCCACGCCATCCAGCCTGGGCGACAGGAGCAAGACTCTGTCTCATTAAGAAAAGAAAAAATAGAAAAAGGAAGACGAGTCAGGTCTTGGTCCAGGAGTAGCATTCCATCTCGTAGCCCAGTCCCTGTGAGTGTCCATGAACCTGCGGGTCAGTGTGGCTGAACAGCGTTGACACACTGTGGGTGGTAAGGCCCATGCAGAACGCACATGGAGGGCTGGATAGTGTCAGCAGGAAGAGGTAGGGTTTATTGGGCTACGGACAGCAGATGGTCTGGCCATGCTTGAGTGGACTCATTTTCCCTCGGCCAGTTCAATCTCTCCCACATCAGGCAACCATAAAACGGTACCATCTCTTTCTTGCTAGACTCCAGGAGTGGGAGACACGGTATTCTTTAGCCCACAGTAAGAGGATGTCAGTCCTCGGGAATTCGTCCTGGCATCAGAGAGGTGCAGAGATAGGCGTAGATCAGGGATCCTATCGGAAGACCAGGTTTGACAGGGTGAGGGTCAGGCCTCCTGGTGCCCTCGACCTGAATATGGGGTTTTGGGAAGAAGAGGGGGATATGGCGTTGGGCCTGGAGAAATGGGTGGACAGATTGTGTGCACAGGTTCAGGACAGGATTCTGGAGGGATGGAGTTCCCAAGGAAAGGAGACTGATGGGGCCTTTAGAGGGGTAGGACCTTGATTCAGGAACCCAGAAGCAACGATGTTTCTCAGGAAAAGCAGCCTTGCGCCACTCTGGATAAAGCATCTCCTCCTTGGCTGAGGCTTGTGAGGAGGCAGGCAGGCCGTAGGCCTCAGACCATCCTTCTATTCCGCCGTTCTATCCTCCAGTCACCGACTTTGACACCAGCTGGGTGCGGAACGGCGGGCCTGGGGAGGAGCTTGGATCTGTGCGGACGAAGAGAGCCGCTATCTGAAAGTGACCGCAAGCTGAAGATAGTCAGGTGGCCTGGAAATCCAGGGGGAAGAGAGAGGGACCCTGGCCCCAGTCCTCCCAACACTGTTTGCGCCTTCCTCTTAGCACCTCAGGCGCTGCAAGTATGGAATTGACTAGGAGCTGGTAGCTTGCTTTAGTCAGAAGGCATGGAGGCGCTGGGAAATGGGGTGGGAGGACAGCTTCAGACAAAAAATGGCGCTCATTTTAGTTTAGAAGCAGATGTGCATCCTGAATATATTACACAGGGGCAACTATTCTGCATATTGGCTAAGACCATTATGGTGATACATTCCACGGGTCTTTTGAAGAACCAGCCTGTCCCCTCTCTTTCGAGCTTTCTTTCTTTCTGTCTTTGTTTCTTTCTCTCTCTCTTTTCTTTCTCTTCCTTCTCTGTCTCTTCTCTTTTGTTGTGTTGGAGTTGTGACTCGTCACCACAGCTGGAAGACAGAGTGAATTCTGGGCTCCACTGCAACTGTGCTCCCGAGATTCAAGCAAATTTCGTGCCAGCCTCCTGAAGACCTGGACTACAGGTGTGCCACAGCCTAGTACATTAAAACGATTTTTCTTTTTTTTGTTTGAGACGGAGTCTCACTCTGTTGGCGCAGGCTGGGAGTACAGTGGTGCAGATCTCGGGCTCACGCAAGCTCTGCGCTCCCGGGGTTATTCACGCCATTCTCCTGCCTCAGGCCTCCTTGAGTAGCTGGGACTACAGGTGCCTGCCACCGGCGGCATGGCTATTTTGGTATTTTAGGTAGAGGACAGGTTCACCATGCTTAGCCCAGCGATGGTCGTCGATCCCGTGCACTCGACTTTGATCTGCCCGCCTTGGGGCTCAAAGTGGGCTGGGATGTAGCAGGTGTGAGCGCGACGGCACCTGGCTCGATCTTTTTTTTTGTTTGTATGGACAGGTTTCACCATGTGCCCAGGCTGGTCATTGAAGCTCTGAAGCTAGGGCAGTTCGCACTGCTCAGCCTCGCAAGAAGTGCTTGCGGATTAGAGGCATGAGCCAGGCGCGTCTGGACTGTTCATTTTGAGGGAAATAATTTCAAGGTTAGTAGAAAAGGTCGCGAGAATTGTACAAATACGTGACCTGAGTAGGTAGATCTTTCACCAGTTTGTAGTAATGGCCCATATTTAGCTCGTTTCTCCCCGAACATCGACGGTATTTGCCTTGTGATGTGTAATTATTGTTTTGCTTTGAAATATGTTATTATGCGCTCTTGCGAACTGTTTGACGAATATGTTGTGACATGCATGTCCCTTTTAAGGTACGTTTTAGTGGAGCATTTCCGAAGACAACGGCGCATTACTTAGTGGCGTTGTTATCTAGAGTCAGGACATGTAGCCAGGCTTGTTAGGAATTCTAGAGTAGTCCATATTCTTCAGAGGGCAGTCTGATGTGTGCCAGTGATGTCCGTTTACAGTGAACTTGAATGGTGTCGCTGCTCTAGGCTAAGTCCAGAGGATGGCCACGGTTGCTGTTGGTTGTTTTGGGCTCTGTTCAGCTGGGGTCAGCCGCCTTGGCTTTTTGGGGTTTGCTCGAATGAGCGGGACGGTGTGTTGGAGGATCCAGGGCGTGTTGTGTTGGTGCAATGGTCCCTTGAACGTGGTTTATCGGGTTTTTTTTTTTGTTGTTTTGGTGAGACAAGAGTGTGTTACTCTGTACCTAGGCTGAGGGCGAATGGTAGCGATGCGGTCGCTCACTAGCGACGGTCCAGCCTCGGCCGGTGTTCAAGCGATTTCCGCCGTTCAGGCCTCGGCTGAGGGGTAGCGGATTAGGCACAGTTACGCGCCACCGACGGCCTGGCTAATTTTGTATTTTTAGTAGAGACGGGGTTTCTCCATGTTGGTCAGGCTGGTCTCGAACTCCTGACCTCAGGTGATAAGCCCGCCTCAGCCTCCCAGAGTTCCGGGATTACAGGCGTGAGTCACCGTGCCCGGCCGGTTTCTCTGATCTTTCTTCATGATTAGACTTGGTGTCTGCACTTTGGGGGGAATGTCACAGCAGTGATAGTGTGTCCTTCCTGTGCAGGATCTCAGGAGGCACCTGATGTCAGCTTGTCCCATGACTGGTGGTGTTGTCTTTGGTCACTTGGCTAGCCAGGTTTTTGCAATGGAGAGTTTTCCTTTTCGTAGTGAATATGTGGTCCGTGGGGAGATTCTCTGAGACTGTGTACATATCTTGTCCCCGACACACCTTCACTCAATCATTTTGTTACGGGATCTTTCGGGCGTCACTTTTCTGGCTGGAAACCTCCTTGGCCAGTGGTGCCTTTGCCCGAGTTCTTGTCCTGTGTCCAGGAAGAAGGAGGTAGGCAGACAAGTGGAGAGGAGCAAGATGAAGAGGAGCTTTATCGAGTGTTAAGACAGCTCAGAGGAGACCTGCAGGGGGCAGCTCCTCTGTAGGCAGGTGGTCTCGTCTAGTGTTCAGCTATCAGCCGTGAGGAGGCCCTGGAGAGGGTGGTTCCTCTCCGCAGGCAGGTTGTTCAGATGTCTGCAGGCCTCTGAAGCTCTCAGCAGAGAGGGTAGCTCCATGGGTGGCCACGGGCAGGCCTGGAGGAGACGCTGCAAGTCCCCACTCGTTCTGCAGTACTGGCAACCTGGCCCCCAGACGTCAGGCCCTCCCTGGCCTAAAGGAGGGACCTTACCAGGGACCTGCCCTCTTCTGCCCAGGAATGTGTCTGCCTCCTGCTGCCATTCATGGCACTGGGCTGGACCCCAACCCCTCTCTGAGATCAGAGTGGGTGCAAGAGAGGAGAGAGGCCAAGCAGCAGGAGCAGACACCTCTGAGCCTGCAGGGATCGGGGGGTGCTTTCCTGGGCTGCTGAGGGTGCAGGCTGCAGAGAACTTCAGAGATGCCTAGGTCCTGTGGTTGGGAGGGTGGCTGCAGCGGCGCTCCGGGAGCTCCCACCCTGCCAACTCGGAAGGGGCAGGACCCTCGCTTGTGCCCGGCTGCTGCCTGCTCCCTGGAGTGGGAGGCCTGGGTCTGTAGCTGCGGGTTGGGTGGCTGCAACTGCACCCGGGAGGGCAGACCCTGCCTGCTCCTGACCCCCTGCAGGAGCACAGAGAGGCTCAGATCCACAGCAGCAGTTTGGGCAGCTGTTGCCCTGCCCAGGAGGGCGGGGATCCTGCCTGCTCCATGGAGCAGAAGGCCTGGGTCTGCAACTGTGGTTCAGATGGCTACAGCTGCATCCGGGGAGCTCCCACCCCAACTCAGAAGGGGCAGGGCTCCCACCGGCTGCATGGAGTGTGCAGCCCCAGCCAGCAGCTACTGCCATCAATTTTAGCATCCATGAATGATTCTTCCCTGAACGGTTATTACTGTAATGGCTGCAAAAGGGTGATTTAAAAAAACTCTATCATTTCTCCCACATTTATAAGATGGCACTTTCCTTAAGGAAACATTTCTCAGCCGGGGGCGGTGGCTCATGCCTGTAATTCCAGCACTTTGGGAGGCTGAGGCAGGCAGATCACCTGAAGTCAGGAGTTTGAGAACAGTCTGGCCAACATGGTGAAACCCCATTTCTACTAAAAATACAAAAAAGTAGCTGGGCGTGGTGGCAGGTGCCTGTAATCCCAGCTACTTGGGAGGCTGAGGCAGGAGATCACTTGAACCAGGGAGCCGGAGGTTGCAGCGAGCCAAGATTGCGCCATTGCACTCCAGCTTGGGCAATAAGAGTGAAACTCCGTCTCATTAAAAAAAAAAAAAAAAAAAGGAAAAACTTCTCTTTCTCCTTGTCAGTGAGCATGAATGTATTCTGACTTTATAGATGACAATCTATAACTGCCATTCGTTTTAGTGTTCAAATTGCCCCAGATTTGGTTGGGGGGGCCCCTTCAAGCTGGCTTCTGTGGCCTTTGGACACACCCCCTCACTTTTTGGGAGTACTTCCTCACTTTCTGGCACAGAAAGATAGCCTAGGTAATCTGGACCTTGTTCTGCCCCATCCCTGGGGTTGGCCATTGTTCTGAGGAGTCCCGATTCTTTCTAGGGAAGAGTAGGTGTGGAGGCACTAAGAGACTTCGTTGCTACTTGGGTGTCATTGCTTTGAGGCCCTTTCTCTGGAGAGAGCTAGGAAGCACACATATTTTATATGTTTTAAAATTCTATTTATTTTTTGTAGAGATGGGGTCTTACTATGTTGTCCAGGCTGCTCTCAATCTCTTGGGCTCAAGTGATTCCCCTGCCTTGGCCTCACAAAGTGTTGGGATTACAGGCATGAGCCACTGCGCCTGGCTGACATATTTTACAATAGTGAGTTCACGTTGATTCCTCTGATTCCATTCCGGTACCACCAGGTTTTTCCTGAGCATTCCTCATTTCATCTTTCTTTTTTGAGACGGAGTCTTGTTCTTGTTGCCCAGGCTAGAGTGCAATGGCGCGATCTTGGCTCATTGTAACCTCCGCCTACTGAGTTCAAGCGATTCTCCTGCCTCAGCCTCCCGAGTAGCTGGGATTACAGGCATGCGCCACCACGCCTGGCTGTTTTTGGATTTTTAGTAGAGACGGGGTTTCTCCATGTTGTTGAGGCTGGTCTCGAACTCCCAACCTCAGGTGATCCGCCTGCCTTGGCCTCCCAAAGTGCTGGGATTACACGCGTGAGCCACTGCGCCTGGCCTCTTCATTTCATCTTTCTGGCTCTCTTCTCCCACAGCGGGAACACCAGTTCCCAACCACATCAACATACTTACTCATTTGCTGAGTCATATGATACATACATAAGAATTACAGAATTGCCGCAGCCATACCACCACCCCCAAACCTGATAAATAGGGTTCAGGATTTGTTTGCAGTTTGTTTTGTCCTCTGAGAATATGAGTACTTATATATCTTTTCTTTTTTTCTTTTCTTTTTTTTTGAGATGGAGTTTCTTTCTGTCGTCCAGGCTGGAGGGCAGTGGCCATGACCTTGGCTTACTGCAACCTCTGTCTCCTGGGTTCAAGTGATTCTCCTGCCTGAGCCTCCCAAGGAGCTGGGATTACAGGCATGCATAATCACACCCAGCTAATTTTTGTATTTTTAGTAGAGATGGAGTTTCACCATGTTGCACACGCTGGTCTTAAACTGACCTTGGGTGATCCGCCTGCCTCAGCCTCCCAAAGTGCTGGGATTATGGGCGTGAGCCACCGCGCCTGGCCCTGTTAGTATTTTTAAATACAGTTAAGTTCACTTGCTTCCATTTGCATTCAGTTTTAGTTTTCTGTTCTCTCTTTATTGATTTAATTTCCTTTATGAATATGTAAAACATTAACAAGGTTCTCAAATCAAAACTGTTCTAAAAGGTTGCCTAGAGAAACGTCATTTCCTCTCCATCTCCCCCACCTCATTTCCACCCAGCCCCCATAGGTTACTAAATATTTTCTTAGTTTGTGGTTATCTACAGAAAGAACCTTTTGATCCAGCTTATCAGTTTGTCTCATACCTCTTTAAAATCCCTTTCATGGGCAGTCACTAATGAGGAGGGTCCACATTTGGAAGGCTCAAGAGCTTTGCTCTTTATTAGAGAAGCATGGGGCCAAAAGGAAAGACTCTGAGCAATGAGGTTGTAAGAAGTGGCACTGATTTTTTTCTCCTCCCCCCATAGGAGATCCACCACCTGCGGCACCTGGTCAGCTCCCTTATCCTCTCCTCCACCTCTGCCTACACCGTCAGGTAGGGACTGCGGGTATCCTGGGGTTGTGGGACCCAGATGACTCAGGACATACCTTTCCATAAAGCAGTGGTGGGAAGGTTCAGGGCTCATGAAACAGACGTCAGAAGCTATTTTTTCCCCCCATAATATCCCCCTTTTCTCTCTCTCCCCCACCAGTTCCCCACCTCCACTCTCATGGTCCTGTTCTTTTTTTTTTTTTTTTTTTTTTTGAGACAGTGTCTGGCTCTGTCACCCAGGCTATAGTGCAGTGGTGTGATCTCGGCTCACTGCAACCTCCACCTCCCGGGTTCAAGCGATTCTCCTGCCTCAGCCTCCCGAGTAGCTGGGATTACAGGCATGCGCCACCACGCCTGGCTAATTTTTGTATTTTTGGTGGAGATGGGGTTTCACCATGTTGGCCAGGGTGGTCTTGACCGCCTCTGAGCTCATGATCTACCCGCCTCTGCCTCCCAAGGTGCTGGGATTACAGGCATGAGCCATTGCACCCCACTGGTGTGCTGGGATTACAGGCATGAGCCATTGCACCCCACTGGTCCTGTTCTCTTCCTTGGGCATGTAAATTAACCTCTACTGACCCCATCTAGCACATAAGAATGCATCTAGTGGCCGGACGCGGTGGCTCACGCCTGTAATCCCCACACTGTGGGAGGCCAAGGCAGGCAGATTGCTTGAGCTCAGGAGTTCCAGACCAGCCTGGCCAACATGGTGAAATCCCATCTCTACCAAAAATATAAAAACGTAGCTGGGCATGGTGGCGGTGGCGAGTGTCTGTGGTCCCAGCTACTTGGGAGGCTGAGGTGGGAGGATTGGTTGAGGCCTGGGGGCAGAGGTTGCAGTGAGCCGAGATTGCACCACTGCATTCCAGCCTGGGCAACAGAGTAAGACTCTGTCTCAGAAAGAAAAAAAAAAAAAAAAGTGCATCTAGCACATACATAGTGCAGCAGGGTTCCTGGAAGCATCTGGCGAATTTGTTATTTGTCAGCATTGGTTGCAAGGGACAGAGATTCTCTCGGGCCACCTTCAGATAGAGACACGCTGTAAGGAGTTGAAGAGCTGAAGCTGCTTTAGGTGCTGGCTTCTCTCTCCTTCTCTGGGGCTCTCATGAGCTCCAGGCTCTCTTTCTCACTCCATCCCTGCCTCTTTCTCAGCTTCGCCCTCTTCTCCTCTTGCTCCAAACGCTTCCTTGCCTTCTACTGAGTTCTTCTCTGGCTTCTGTTTTCTCACGGTCCCTGATCGACATCAGTTGTGGCCTGGGTCTGCCTTAGGGTCTCTGTGATTTCTCTCTTTCTCTCTCTCTGTTAAAATAATAAACATGGCAAAATTCACCATTTTCAAGTACAGAATTTAGCAGCATTTAGTCCATTCACAGGGTCGTGCAACTGCACCACTTCTGTCTAGATCTGAAATATTTCCATCACTCCAAAAGGAAACTGTACCTGCCACCGGGAAATGCAGGAATCCTCGCTTCTTAGTCTTACTTGGGAGAAAGAATTCTGCCTAGAGACTGATTTAATCAACAAAGAGAATTTACTGAAGGCAAATAGAGAACAGAGAGTTTACATAGAGAGAGACAGTACACTCTGAAGGATGAGGAGAGCAGGCTGCTGAAAGAACGTGAGCCAGCAGCACACTGAGAGTTTTGTGTTGGGTTTTTAATATGATGTTGGACTCTTTTGAAGTTCTTGCCTCCGTCTTTTTTTTTTTTGAGACAGAGTTTCGCTCTTGCCACCCAAGCTAGAGTGCAGTAGTGCGATCTCGGCTCACTGCAATCTTCACCTCCCAGGTTCAAGCGATTCTCTTGCTTCAGCCTCCCGAGTAGTTGGGATTACAGGCATGCACCACCAGGTCTGGCTAATTTTTGTATTTTTAGTAGAGATGGGGTTTCACCATGTTGGCCAGGCTGGTCTCAAACTCCTGACTGCAGGTGATCCTCCTGCCTCCCAGAATGCTGGGATTACAGACTGAGCCACCGTGCCCAGCCAGTTCTCTGCTTTTTGTGACCACAGGATAACTGCAACCTGATTCAGCCCCATTCCTGTGACCCCAGGCTGGCCCTGCCCATCTGGGACACCAGCTGGCTCCACCCCACCCCCACACCCTCTGGCTGACCCCACCCATCCCCAGGATCCCAGGCCGACCCCAGCCCAGCCTCCAGTCATCCTGACCCCGGCTGACCCCCCCAGGGAGGAGGCAAAGGCCAAGATGGGCTTGCTGCGGGAGCGCGCGGAGAAGGAGGAGGCCCAGAGTGAGACGGAGGTGCAGGTGCTGCAGCGGCAGATCTCACACCTGGAGCAGCTGCACCGCTTCCTCAAGCTCAAAAACGACAGGCAGCCAGATTCCGATGTCCTGGAGAAGCGTGAAAAGCAGGGTGAGGCAGGGGCTGCCGCCTTTGCATCTCGAGGGCCTGGCTGCCCCTGGGGCACCTGCAGCGCTCCTTGGTGCCCCGGGCAGGACCACGCTTTGCTCACCCTCGCCCAGGAGGTCTCTGTGCTGGAGGCCACCCAGGAGGCCGACCTGCTGTTCTCTCTTCCCCCAGCCCGGGAGGTGGCCGAGGGCGTCCGGAAGACCTCCCAGGAGAGGCTAGTGCTTCGCTATGAGGACGCCCTGAATAAACTGTCCCAGCTGATGGGGGAGAGCGACCCCGACCTGTTGGTGCAGAAGTATCTGGAGAGTGAGTGGGGCCCTGGGTGGGGGGAGGAGGCCCAGGGGCCCCGGCACCCCCTGAGTCCAGTGCAGGCTGGCTTCAGCTCTGGCTCTGGGGACTCCTCCACCTGCACTGGAGGAGCAAGGTGTCAGGCCTGGGACCCGCCACCCATGTCCACTGGCGTCTTACTGTGGCCCTGTCTCTGCCTCTCCCCATCCCCTCCTCACTCCTGGGCCTGGGGTCACTCTCCACATCCTTCCCTCAACCCCGCCCCTCTCTGTTTCTCTCCTTACCCATATCTACCGTTCTCCCTGCCTGCATCTCCCCATCTCCCTTGCTGTTACCGAGTCTCTCCGGCTTTCCCTCTGCCTTGCTATGTGTTTCTGTGTCGCCCCTGCCGTATCTTCCCACGCCTCTTGGTCTCTGTGATTCTTCTCTGTTCATCTCTCTGCCTTGGTCTCTGTGTGGCCTTCCTCATCCTCACTTTCTCTGGCCTTCTGTGTGCCTCTCTGTCTCTCTTCTCTCTGTATCTGTATCTCTGTCTTCCTCTCTCTGGGCCCCGCCTTGCCCAACTTTCCCAGTCGAGGAGCGCAACTTTGCTGAGTTCAACTTCATCAATGAGCAGAACTTGGAGCTGGAGCATGTGCAGGAAGAGATCAAGGAGGTGAGTGAGGCCTGCCCTCTCCATCTCCTCCTCTTCTCCCTGCCTCCCTGCCCCCTCCCCTCCCTCAGCCCCCCTCCTGCCTCTTCTTCCCAGCTCCACACCCCCCAGCTCCCGAGGCTGCCATCTGGCCCAACATTCAGCCCTGTCCCCACAGATGCAGGAGGCATTGGTGAGTGCACGTACCAGCAAGGATGACCGGCATTTGCTGCAGGAGCAACAGCTGAATGCGTTGCAGCAGCGCATGGACAAGGTGCGCTTGGAGGCTGAGCGCCTTGAGGCCCGCTTCCAGGATGTGCGGGGACAGCTGGAGAAGCTCAAGGCTGGTGAGCACCCACGGGCGCCCCCTCCCAAGCCTGGCTTCTCCACTTGGAAGGACACCATTAGGCTTGGAGGCATTGCATGGACAACCTGGTTCACTTGCTTATTGGTTGCTCCATATCTGTCCATCTTTCCAACCAGGGTCTATCCCTCCAACTGTCTCATGTCCATCTATCCATCCAGCATCTGTCCCTCCAGCTGTCCTACACCCATCCATCCATCCATCCATCCACCCATCCATCAGTGCATCCATCCATCCATCTAGGGTTGATCTCTCCAACTGTCCCATATCCATCCATCCATCCATCCATCCATCCATCCATCCATCCAGAGACTGTCCCTCCAACTGTCCTATATCCATCATCCATCCAGAATTTATTCCCTCATCTGTCCTATATCTATCTCTCCATCCAGGGTCTATCCCTCCATCTGTCCCATATCCATCTATCTATCCAGGGTCTGTGCCTTCATCTGTTCTATATCTATCTATCCATCCAGGATCTACCCCTCCATCTGTCCTATATCCATCCATCCATCCATCCATCCATCC